ATTTCTAGGAGCGAAGATTGCTGCAGACTCAGACTGCAGTCAGGCAATCAAAAGACTTTTACTTCTTGGGAGGAGAACAATGACCAATCTCAATAAAATGGTGAAGAGTAGAGGCATCTCACTGGCAATGAAGATGCACATAGTTAAAGCAATGGTATTCCCTGTAGCAACCTATGGATGTGGGAGCTGGACCATAAGGAAGGCTGAGTAAAGGAAAATAGACACTTTTGAATTGCGGGGTTGGAGGAAAATTCTAAGAGTTCCTTGGACTGCAAGAAGATAAAACCAGTCCATACTCCAGGAAATAATGCCCGACTGCTCACTGGAGGGAAGGATATCAGAGGCAAAGATGAAGTACTTTGGCCACATAATGAGAAGACAGGAAAGCTTGGAGAAGACAATGATGCTGGGGAAAATGGAAGCAAGAAGGAAGAGGGGCCGACCAAGGGCAAGATGGATGGGTGCTATCCTTGAAGTGACTGACTCAATTTTGAAGGCGCTGGGGATGGAGACAGCCGACAGGGAGCTCTGATATGGGCTGGTCCATGAGATCACAAAGTGTCGGAAGCGGCACAACCTAGGGATCACAACCAGATACAGTGAAGACATCTGCCCTTGCGCTATGCTCCTCTGCTGCTGAGTATGCATGCCCAGTGTGGAACACATCTCACCATGCTAAAACAGTGGGTGTGGCTTTTAATGAGACATGCCACATTATCACAGGATGTCTACGCCCTACACTACTGGAGAAATTATTCTGTTTAGCTGCTATTGCACTACTTGACATCCGCCAGGAAGTAGCAGTCAATAATGAAAGGACCAAGGCAGTGGCATCTCTGGACAATCCCCTATTTGGATATCAGCCAGCACACCAATGCATTAAATCAAGAAATTGTTTTCTAAGATCTACAGAGATACTAGCAGGAACACCTCAGCAAGCGAGAGTCCAACAGTGGCAGGCTAAAACCCAGAATCTCAACCCATGGCTGGTACCAGATGAGAAACTCCCTCCTGGGCACACAGAAGACTGGGTGACTTAAAAGGCGCTTAACAGACGCGCTCTGGCACCACGAGATGCAGAGCCAATCTTAAGAAATGGGACCACAAAGTGGTGTCCACGACATGCAAGTGTGGAAAAGAGCAAACTGCAGACCACCTATTAAAGTCTGAGCACAATGGAGGGCCTTGTTATAGCAACACTAGGGGCACTCCAAGTGGACAGATACAGGTATTTTTATTTAATGTTTTCTCGAAGGCTTTCATGGCTGGAATCACTGGGTTGTTGTAGGTTTTCTGGCTATATGGCCATGTTCTAGAAGTTTATTTATTTTTATTTGTTTATCATGTCAGGAGCAAACCAAACAGTTATATTGTATTTAAAACACACACACACACTCACACACAAAGTCTGCAAACTTGGCATTCTGTTAAATGTCCTTTGACCAGTAGCTGTCCACTTGGAGTGCCTCTGGTGTTGCTATAAGAAGGTCCTCCATTGTGCATGTGAACAGGACTCAGGTATCAGCCATTGATTGAGGTTCTGGGTCTTAGCCTGCCACTTTTGGACCGTTGTTTGCTGAGGTGTTCCAGTGAGTGTCTCTGTAGATCTATTTCTTGATTTAAGTCGTTGGTGTGCTGGTTGATATCCAAACAGGGGATGGGCCGGAGATGTCACTGCCTTGGTCCTTTCACTGTTGGTTGCTACTTCATGGCGGATAACAGGTGGTGCAATACCAGCTTCTGGGGAGGTCCTGCTCTCGGTCCTGCCTCTTTCACAGGTGTGTTTGGCGGGAACAAAAGACAGGGCCTTCTAAGCGGTGGCCTCTTGGCTGTGGAACACACTTCCCACGAATATAAGATCGGCCCCCTCCCTCCTGACATTCCATAAGAAGGTTCAAACATGGCTTTTTGAGCAAGCTTTCCCTAATGCAACATAATTAGATAAAGATGAAATTCGGAACGATTGACGATGCACTTGGATGACAATTTTAGTAAGGAGACACTGAAGATTATGTTTTTATGGGTTTGTTTGGTTTTTATACTATACTAGCTGTCCCCTGCCACATGTTGCTATGGCCCAGTCTGGTGATCTGGAAAATAAAGTAATGAGAAAGTGTTAGTTTCTAATATATGTAATTTCTTTATGCTTGTGGGTAAACAGTTATTTCTTGTTGTTTCTTTGTCGGTGTTGATGTGGAGCTTGTCTGGTTTGCCTACTCTGGAACATGCAACATATAATTGTCCCTTTCAAATCTAGTATACTTTAGCTGTCATATACATGTGTGTGTTTGTATGTGTGAATCATACATATCTATCTTTATTCATGGTGGGATGGCTCTTTGTCAGGAGGGCTTTGATTATGGTTGAGGGAGTTGGACTAGATGGCCTTCAGGCAGCATTTCTCAAACTGGGGTTTGGGGCCCCTAGGGGGGTCGCGAGGGGGTTTCAGAAGGGTTGCCAAAGACCTCCAGAAATCACAATATTTTCTATTGGTCATGGGGGTTCTGTGTGGGAAGTTTGGGCCAATTCTATTGTTGGTGGGATTTAGAATGCTCTTTGATTGTAGGTGAACTATAAATCCCAGTAACTACAACTCAAAAATGTCAAGGTCTATTTTCCCCAAACTCCATCTGTGTTCATATTTGGGCATATGGAGTATCCGTGCCAAGTTTGGTCCAGATCCTTCATTGTTTGTGTCCACAGTGCTCTCTGGATGGAGGTGAACTACAGCTCCAAAACACAAGATCAATGCCCACCAAACCCTTCTAGCATTTTCTGTCAGTCATGAGAGTTCTGTGTGCCAAGTTTAGTTCAATTCCGTCATTGGTGAAGTTCAGAATGATCTTTGATTGTACGTTAACTATAAATCCCGGCAACTACAATGCCTAAATGACAAAATCAACTTTTTTCAGTGATGGTCACTCCTTGGGTTAGTTTGTGTCTTGTGGCCAAATTTGGTGTCAATTCATCCAGTGGTTTTTGAATTATGTTAATCCCACAAACGAACATTACATTTTGATTTATATAGACTAGCCATCCCCTACCACGCTTTGCTGTGACCCAGTTTGTGTGTATGTGTTTTTTTGTGTATATATTTGTATATATATGTATATACGTGTGTTTGCGTATATATACGTAGTTTTGCGCATACGTTGTAATGTATTTGTTTTATTTTTTGGCTTTTTAAGTTCCTTCCGCTGTGTTTTTCAGTGTTTTTATGAGTGAGGGTCACTTGTTGGCCTGATAGGTGTATGGTGTCCGAATTTGGTGTCAGTTGGTCCAGTGATTTTTGAGTTATGTTAATCCCACAAATGAACATTATATTTTTATTTATATAGATGTTAATGTTTTAATTGTATTTATAATCTGTTTTTAACTTGCGCTTTATAGTTGTGAAGGCATCGAATTGTTGCCGATTGTGAACTGCCCTGCGTCGCCTTCAGGCTGAGAAAGGTGGCATATAAATGTGGTAAATAAATAAATAATCCACAAACCAGATAAACAATTGGGTCACACAGTTTACAGAAAACCCACGCACACGGATAGATATCTACATAAAAACTCCAACCATCACCCAAGTCAAAAAAGAAGCACCATTAAAGCCTTGGCAGACCGTGCAAAAAGAATCTGCGAACCCCACCTCCTCCAAGATGAACTGAACCACCTAAACTGGGCTCTCCAGGCCAATGGATACTCCACCTCAGACATCAGAAGAGCTGCAAGACCGAGAACAAGCCATGAGAGTAAAGACGAAGATCCACCCAGAGGAAAAGTGTTCTTGCCATACATCAAGGGAACCACTGACCGCATAGGGAAGCTGATGAGGAAACACAGCCTACAAACTATCTACAGACCCACCAAGAAAATCCAAAAAAGCTACGTTCAGCAAAGGACAAGGGGGATCCTCTCACTTCTGCAGGAGTCTACAGTGTGGACAAGTCTACATAGGGACCACCAAACGCAGCATTGCCCAAACACGAATCAAGGAACATGAAAAGCACTGCAGACTGCTTCAACAGAGAAGTCAGCCATGGCAGAGCACCTGATGAACCAACCCGGACACAGCATATTGTTTGAGAACACAGAAATTCTGGACCACTCTCACAACCACCATGTCAGACTACACAGAGAAGCCATTGAAATCCACAAGCTTGTGGACAATTTCAACAGAAAGGAGGAAACCATGAAAATGAACAAAATCTGGCTATCAGTATTACAAAACTCTAAAATTACAACAGCACAACAACAGAGGGAAAACAATCGGGGACATCTAATCACCTCTCAACAAAAGATTGCCCTAGGCACTGCCAGGCCATCAATGGCTAATCAAAGTGGTCAGTTGAAACATTCACACCTAGCTCCAGCAGACAAGAGTTCTTTGTCCCACCCTGGTCATTCCACAGATATATAAACTCAATTTTCCTAGTTCCAACAGACCTCACTACCTCTGAGGATGCTTGCCATAAATGCAGGCAAAACGTCAGGAGAGAATGCCTCTAGAACATGGCCATATAGTCCGAAAAAACCTACAACAACCCAATGTTTTAATTGTTTTTATAATCTGTTTTGAACTTGCACTTTATAGTTGTAGAGGCATTGAATTGTTGCCGATTGTGGACCGCCCTGAGTCGCCTTTGGTATGAAAAAAGTGGTATATAAACGTGGTAAATAAGTAAATAAATAACTCTAATGGTGTAAGGGCGCAGCTACAGGTCAAAGGACATTTAGTATAATGTCAAGTTTTTTAAAACTTTGTGCTTTTGTTTTTTTCCATGTACATTACAACTGTGTCCTCGGTTCGCTTCTGATACGATAAATAAAATAACCAAAGTATTTCATAGCATTGAGCCAAGACATTACTCCCACATTGAGCCAAGACATAACTCCCACTTTCGCTTGGGAGGAAAGAGCGTGGAGCAGACTTCGAAGTTACGCCTTGCTGGGTTGAGAGGGTTTTTCCTTTTCTCTTTCGTAGCTCTGTGGTGCGGGGAGTTCCTTCCTTCCCTCCCTCCCTTTCCATTCGAGCTCTAGTCCAACGAAGGAGGGCGGGATGTTGTCGGTCCTTCCGCAGGTGGAGCGCCTCTCCGCGCGGGTGGTGCGCGTGCTGGGCTGCAACCCGGGGCCCATGACCCTGCAGGGCACCAACACCTACCTGGTGGGCACCGGGCCCAGGTACGCAGCGGCCCCACCCACACCCCCAAAGGAAAACAAAAGGGCTTGGGAGTCTAGTGCAGCTGGGAGAGCAAAGGGGGGGGGGCGTTTGAGTGAGCAACCGAAGAGGGAAAACCTTCGCCTCTCCCTTGCTCTTCCAGCCCTTTTGGACTCCAACTCCCAGAAGCCTCTGCCAGCTTGACCAACAGCAAGGAATTCTGGGAGCTGTAGTCTGAAACCACTGGAAGAGTAATGTTTGGGAAGCAAGGAATTCTGGGAGCTGTAGTCTGAAACCACTGGGAAGAGTAATGTTTGGGAAGCAAGGAATTCTGGGAGCTGTAGTCTGAAACCACTGGAAGAGTAATGTTTGGGAAGCAAGGAATTCTGGGAGCTGTAGTCTGAAAACACTGGAAGAGTAATGTTTGGGAAGCACTGAATTAGTGCATTTCGACACCACTTGTACCTCCATCCTATGGACTCTTGCTATGGAGCCTTGGTGGCGTTAAACTGCGTTAATTCTACAATTAATAATAATAATAATACTTTATTTGTACCCCGCTACCATCTCCCCAAGGGACTCGGTGCGGCTTACATGAGGCTTTTTTGGTCGTGTCAGGAGTGACTTGAGAAACTGCAAGTCGCTTCTGGTGTGAGAGAATTGGCCGTCTGCAAGGACGTTGCCCAGGGGACGCCCAGATGATTTGATGTTTTTATCATCCTTGTGGGAGGCTTCTCTCATGTCCCCGCATGAAGAGCTGGAGCTGATAGAGGGAGCTCATCCACCTCTCCTCGGATTTGAACCTGTGACCTGTCGGTCTTCAGTCCTGCCGGCACAGGGGTTTAACCCACTGCACCACCAGGGGCTCCTTTACATGAGGCTGAGCCCACAATACATCAATACAAGCAATAACAACAACAATAAACAATTAAAATGAAACTCATAAACAAAAAAGGAATAACAATAACAGTAATACAACACACATTTTTAAATCTATGGCTGGGCCAAATGCAATTAAAATTTAAAAATAATGCTAGGCATGAACAAGGTAGGAGAGATGGGGCGTTGGTGAAAGCGTACAAGCAATCCTAAATCAGTGTAAAGTGCATTTAGAGGACACAATGCTGAGGGTTCATTATTCTGGGAAGGCACACTGGAACAACCACGTTTTCAAGCTCCTCCTAAAGACTGCCAAAGTTGGGGCATGCCTGATGTCCTTGGGGAATGAGTTCCAGAATCGAGGGGCCACCACTGAGAAGGCCCTCTCCCTCGTCCCCACCAATCGCACCTGTAGATGTTTCACAACGTATATTTATTTACGACATTTATATGCTGCCCTTCTCACCCCAAAGGGGACTCAGAGCAGCTATATATATATATATATACACACACACACACACACAATATATTATATTATTAGCATAGTACAATATCAGTATTATATATTACTATACTGTAGTATACCATTATATTGTAATATTATTAGTAATATTACATGTAATATAAATATATATTATTATATATTATTTTAGTATTATATTGTATTATTACATTATAATATTATAAATATATGTATATACAATATATATTATTAGCATAGCACAGGAGACAAGATGGAACTGTCCCCTGGCCCTCCCAATATAGTTCCTTCCCATTAAGTGGGAATCCTAGGGCCCTTCCACACAGCCCTGTGTCCCAGAATATCAAAACAGAAAATTCCACAATATATGCTTTGAACTGGGTCCACACTCAGGTAATGTGGGATTTTCTGCCTTGATATTCTGAGATATAGGGCTGTGTGGAAGGGCCCTTGGAGCCCCCATTGGCGCAGCGGGTTAAACTGCTGAGCTGCTAAACTTGTTGACTGAAAGGTCACAGGTTTGAATGTGGGGAGTTACGTGAGCTCCTGTTTACCCCAACTTATTCCAACCTAGCAGTTCAAAAACATGCAAATGTTAATAGATCATTAGGTACCACTCCAGCGGGAGGTAGTGGGGCTCCATGCAGTCATGCTGGCCACATGACCTTGGAAGTTTCTACAGACAACGCCGGCTCTTCGGCTTAGAAATGGAAATGAGTACCATCCCCCAGAGTTGGACACAGCTGGACTTTATGTCAGGGGAAAAACTTTACCCGGAAGGGCCCTTAATGTCTGGAAAGCTGAATGGGACACGTTATGTATATGGCATAATATCATCTTTTGTAAAATGGCATTCATAACCTCTTGGAAAAACGCTTTTGAAGATTGTAAAAAAGAATGACCTTTTAGAGAAGAGCCAAAACCCTTTAGAGTAGAATCTTCTCTTGTGGCATACAACAATTATGCAAGGCAATGGTTTCAGTTGTTAGACTGAATAACCTGTTATCTCTCATCGGTTAGAAAAACAGATTTGCCAGTCCATAAAAAACCCAGCAGAATTTTAGAAGTGTTTTTAGTGCCCAACATATATAGGCAAAGGTAAAGATTTCCCTTTGACATTAAGTCTAGTCATGTCCGACTCTAGGGGGTTGTGCTCATCTCCTTTTCTAAGCCGAACAGCCAGCGTTGTCCATAGACCCCTCCAAAGTCATGTGGCTGGCATGACTGCATGGAGTGTTGTTACTTTCCTGCCGAAGCAGTACCTATTAATCTACTCACACTTGCATGTTTTTGAACTGCTAGGTTGGCAGAAGCTGGGGCTAGCAACAGAAGCTCACCTGCAACTTAGCGGTTTAACCTGCTGTGCCACCGCAGCCCCATGGTATAAAACAAAACAACTTGTTTTATCTCATGCACTCAGGAGAAAAAAATGAAGTAGACTTTGATGGAAATAACATATTTGGTTTACTCACAAACTTTATGTGTTAAGCATACACTGCTACAAAACATAACAGTCCAGTTTCAGATATGTTTGAGATAATTCTCTGTGCCATCCGGCCAGAATATCTCTCACGGCAAAAACAGCTAGAGTGTGTGTGATGTAAGATCTGAAATAGTCTACAGTCTGCCTGCCTGCCTGCCTGTAGTGATCATGTGATCTGCAGCCCCAGAACATACATAAAAACAGTAAGCAACAGGATCATACATAAAAATTATTAGAGAAGGCTTGAAGAAGGTTGTCAATATTATCGGATGTTTCCAAGGGGAGAGCAAGGGAAATAGTGTTGTTTTTAATACATTCCCATTTAATAGAAAGCGTGCATTTATACTGTAGAATGAATGCAGTTTGACACCATTTTAACGGCCATGGCTCTCTGCTATGGAATCATAAGATTTGTAGTTTGACGAGGCACCAGCACTCTTTGGCATAGAAGGCTGAAGACTTTGCAAAACTACATAATCTTGAGCCATGGCTGTTAAAGTGGTGTCACGTGCAAACAGATTGCAACATTCTAAACATATTTTTCCCATGTCATGTGAGACTTTTGTTTCAAGTGCATCAGACTAAAGTTCACTCTTAGTTTAGTATTTATTAACTATTACTTGACTTTTGTGGTAACACACATGTTCATGGGGGTCCTATCTTGTTGCTAGGAGGATACTTATTGATACAGGTGAACCCTCCATCCCCGAATATATTAGCAGTTTGAAACAAACACTTACCGAATTCAGCATCTCAATCCAGGAAATTTTGGTCACTCATTGGCATCACGACCACACTGGAGGCATTCCTGATATTTGTAAAAACATTCCCAATAGTAAGTATTTGTTATGTTTTAAAAATTTTGAATATGTGTACATTATGTATCAGGAAAAGTTTGTTAGTAGTTTAAGTAGAAAGAACTTTGAAAATCTTTTGCATAGCAGAAAAGCATAGAAGGAATAGCATTTGAAGTATTGCCCACACTGTGCCCACTATATGCAAGCAAACTCTTAATTCTGGCATCCAGCTTTAGAACAATCTTGTATTTTGGTCCAGCTGCTCACGTTTGTGTATAAACAAAATTAAAAACAACAAGCAAGATTGTAGTGGAGCCATAGCTGGCAGGAAGAGATAGAATTGGTTATCAGGGACAGTGGTGTTATCTCCTGCCCTTCTCAAACTTACCACTTCCTTCTCTGCTCAGCTGCAGCCTTTACCGCTATTGGAGCAAAATGGAGCAATACTCAACAACACTTTATCGATGAATCTTACTATGTCCTAGCCTTCAGTGAAAAATTAAGATTCATTGGTTTTGCAGAAGCCCTATTCCTGATCTGTCTCAAAAACATTGGTATATATATATACCAGCATATATATCAGACATGGGCAAACTTTGGCCCTCCAGGTAATTTGGACTTCAACTCCCACAATTCCTAACAGTTGGTAGACTGTTAGGAATTGTGGGGGTTTAAGTCCAAAACACCTGGAAGGCCAATGTTTGCTCATGCCAGCTATACTCATGGATAACTCTAAAGAACTGGATTGACTTATCCATGGTTCAGGGATCAGGTCAGTAAGCACTGTGTATTAAACTCCTATTTAAGAAGGAACCATCCCCTTCTCTGAGTCCAGTGGCAAAAGGTGAGAGCTCAGTCCATCCCATTAGAATGTAAAAGAAGTACTGAGTTCCTCTACTCTCTCTGCTTCTGGCCTTTTTAAATGCCTAAGTGGAGATGACAGAAGTAGCCAGGAGCAAGTGGTCTCCTGATGCGGCACTGGTGCTTTTTCCTCTCTGGCTTATCCCCAGGTTATACCAAAATCCTTAATATTGGTCCTCAAGCCTGCCTTCAACTTATACATGAGATCAACTTATACATCATTACATATTTTAAAAGGTAAAGGTTTCCCCTTGACATTAAGTCTAGTCACAACCGACTCTGTGGAGTGGTGCTCATTTCCATTTCTAAGCTGAAGAGTGGGAGTTGTCCGTAGATGCCTCCAAGGTCATGTGGCTGTCATGACTGCATGGAGCACTGTTACCTTCCTGCCAAAACATTACCTATTGATCTATTCACATTTGCATGTTTTCAAACTGCTAGGTTGACAGGAGCTGGGGCTGACAACAGGAGCTCATCCCATCCCACAGATTCAAATCACTGACCTGCCGGTTGGCAAGTTCTGTAACTTAGTGATTTAACCCGCTGTGCCACCTCGGCCTCAATAGCATATATGATAGCTGTCTATATTTTTTACTCCAGGAGTTTCTATAGGAGTGCTACAATGAGCACATCAAATATGCATTATTTATTTATTTATTTACAGTATTTATATTCTGCCCTTGTGCAGGGGACTCAGGGTGGATTACAGTGCACATATACATGACAAACATTCAATGCCATAGACACACAACATATATAAACAAACACAGAGTCAATTTAAGCTTCATGAGAGTATGCTTGAATTCTGGCCACCGGGGAGCTGTCGCTTCACGGTCCACTTGTGACACCGAGTCCTTGATGGAGTATTTTCTCATTCTTTCACCCGCTGCTGGAGATTTTTATGGCATCGTAAATTAGTTAAATTAGCCTCCCTGCATAAGCAGTACCTAAATTTCCTACTTGACAGATGCAACTGTCTTTTGGGCTGCAAAGGTCGACAGCAAGCTAGACAAATGGTCGGGAGCTTACTCCAAGGGCTGGTTTCGAACTCATGAACTTTTGGACAGTGGTGATTTAATGCAGCTGACTCCTGTCAGCAAGATAAATATTTGAGAATTGTGAGGACCATTAATATACTGTTCTTTACTATCCAGGTATACCTCAATTAATGAAGTAGTTGTGTTCCTAGACATTAATTCTTTAACTGTGAAACTGCAGTGACTCGTATCCTATTCATTGGTTGCAGATTTTAAAATTCGCATTGAAACAAATATGCTGTCCATAGGTTTTGATGAAAGAGACATGGCACACTTTATTTCATGGTTTGTCCTACCAAAATCTTTTTAGTACAGGTTTAGTACATCCCTTATCCAAAATGTTTGGATTTTTATTTGGGTTTTTAAACTATATCTTGTTTTAAACCTTTTGCAAGCTGACAAGTTCCATATCCAGAGAAAGGAAACATTTTAATAATTACGCCTTTTTCTGTTTTTGTACACCGTGCTGCCAGGTGGAAAGATCTAAATATTTTTCTTTGTGGCCTTAGTAATATCCTTTACAGAAGAAAGTGTGGTTATGAGCCCTTGGGACTGATTGATTTTTTTGTCTCCAGTCTATGAAGAAATGTGCACTGGATCTGTTTTTCATTTCAGACATTTTGTTGATGTTTGAGAGGTATGAATCCAAGTGACATAGTGAAGCAGTATCACTTCTACAAGAACAAAACAGATGTTTCTGAAAAATTAAGATAAAAAATAGCATTTTATAATAATTTTGGTCAAGAAGCTTTTTTACTGTCATGTAAATTAACTACTGCTAAATGTGATGTAAAAAGTTTTCTTTGCTTTTAACACTAGCCACTGAGTATTGCATCAGTAAACTGCCACGTAACCCTCCTTGTGAAGAAGTAATAGGAGAAGGAAAACAAAAATATGCATACCTGAGAGATGGAGATGTCTTAAAGACAGAAGGAGCAACCCTCAGGTAAACATTACTTTTGCATGTATACTAGTATATGCGGGAGGTTTTTCATCTGCAAGGTTTTAAATATTAGCTTGCGTATTTTATATTTATAAAGCCATATGATAGTGTGCATGAAGGTGGGGCTATAAACATATTCATCGTATTTTATATGGCAATCATGGGAGCTCACATAGAGCTCTTTGTATGTTGTCTTTAGGCTGCCCAATTCACAAAACCGAATGCTTAGGATAGCAATGTGTCTCATTCTGTTTGCTGATATATGTCTTCCTTTAGCATTCAACTACATAGTAATATAAGCTTTTATTTATGTGAAACATTTATATTCCCCCCTTGTCACCCTGAAGGGGACTATATATGGCACTCATTCCATGCTGGAACATCAAATAACTATGTTGTTGTTCATTCGTTCAGTCGTCTCCGACTCTTCGTGACTTCATGGACCAGCCCACGCCAGAGCTCCCTGTCGGCCGTTACCACCCCCAGCTCCCTCAAGGTCAGTCCAGTCACTTCAAGGATGCCATCCATCCATCTTGCCCTTGGTCGGCCCCTCTTCCTTTTTCCTTCCATTTTCCCCAGCATCATTGTCTTCTCTAGGCTTTTCTGTCTCCTCATGATGTGGCCAAAGTACTTCAACTTTGTCTCTAGTATCCTTCCCTCCAATGAGCAGTCGGGCTTTATTTCCTGGAGGATGGACTGGTTGGATCTTCTCGCAGTCCAAGGCACTCTCAGCACTTTCCTCCAACACCACAGCTCAAAAGCATCGATCTTCCTTTGCTCAGCCTTCCCTAAGGTCCAGCTCTCACATCCGTAGGTTACTACAGGGAATACCATGGCCTTGACTAGGCGGATCTTTGTTGCAAGTCTGATGTCTCTACTCTTCACTATTTTATCGAGACTGGACATTGCTCTCCTCCCAAGAAGTAAGCGTCTTCTGATTTCCTGGCCACAGTCTGCATCTGCAGTAATCTTTGCACCTAGAAATACAAAGTCTGTCACGGCCTCCACGGTTTCTCCCTCTATTTTCCAGTTGTCAATCATTCTTGTTGCCATAATCTTGGTTTTTTTGACGTTTAGCTGCAATCCGGCTTTTGCGCTTTCTTCTTTCACCTTGATTAGAAGGCTCCTCAGCTCCTCCTCGCTTTCGGCCATCAGGGTGGTGTCATCTGCATATCTGAGGTTGTTAATGTTTCTTCCAGCAATTTTCACCCCAGCCTTGCATCATCAAGCCCCGCACATCGCATGATGTGTTCTGCATACAAGTTAAAAAGGTTGGGTGAGAGGATGCAGCCTTGCCGTACGCCTTTCCCAATCTTGAACCAGTCTGTTGTTCCGTGGTCAGTTCTGACTGTTGCTACTTGGTCCTTGTACAGATTCCTCAGGAGAGAGACAAGGTGGCTTGGGATGCCCATCCCACCAAGAACTTGCCACAAATTATTATGATCCACACAGTCAAAGGCTTTAGAATAGTCAATGAAGCAGAAATAGATGTTTTTCTGAAACTCCCTGCCTTTCTCCATTATCCAGCGGATATTGGCAATCTGGTCTCTCGTTCCTCTGCCTTTTCTAAACCAAGCTTGAACATCTGGCTGGAGTCTTCCTTGCAGGATCTTGGGCATTACCTTACTGGCATGAGAAATAAGGGCCACTGTACGGAAGTTTGAGCAGTCTTTCGCATTTCCCTTTTTTGGTATGGGGATATAAGTTGATTTTTTCCAGTCTGATGGCCATTCTTGTGTTTTCCATATTTGCTGGCAAATGGCATGCATCACCTTGCCAGCATCATCTTTTAAGATTTTAAACAGTTCAGCTGGGATCCCGTCGTCTCCTGCTGCCTTGTTGTTAGCAATGCTTCTTAAGGCCCATTCAACCTCACTCCTCAGGATGTCTGGTTCTAATTCATTCACCACACCGTCATAACTATCCTCAATATTATTATCCTTTCTATACAGATCTTCTGTATAGTCTCGCCACCTTCTCTTGATCTCTTCAGCTTCTGTTAGGTCCCTGCCATCTTTGTTTATTATCATACCAATTTTTGCCTGAAATTTACCTCCAATGTTTCTAATTTTCTGGAAGAGGTCTCTTGTCCTTCCTATTCTGTTGTCTTCTTTCACTTCCATGCATTGCTTATTTAAAAATAGTTCCTTATCTCTTCTGGCTAACCTCTGGAATTGCGCATTTAACTGGGCATATCTCCCCTTATCCCTGTTTCTTTTTGCTTTCCTCCTTTCTTGGGCTACTTCCAGTGTCTCAGCAGACAACCATTTTGCCTTCTTGGTTTTCTTTTTCTTTGGGACGTACTTTGTTGCCGCCTCCTGAACAATGTCTCGGACTTCTGTCCATAGTTCTTCTGGGACTCTGTTTACTAAATCTAGTCCTTCAAATCTGTTCTTCACTTCCAATGTATATTCGCTAGGAATGTTAGTGAGATCATATCTAACTGGTCTGTGTATTTTCCCTGATCTCTTTAGTTTTATTCTAAATTGGGCAATAAGAAGTTCGTGATCTGAGCTACAGTCAGCCCCAGGTCTTGTTTTCACCGACTGGATGGATGTCCGCCACCTTTGGCTGCAAAGGATGTAGTCAATCTGATTTCGGTGTTGACCATCTGGTGAAGTCCATGTATAAAGCCGTCTTTTAGGTTGTTGGAAGAGAGTGTTTGTTATACACAGCGAGTTTTCCTGGCAAAATTCTATCAGCCTGCGTCCCGCTTCATTTTGTTTTCCCAGACCATGCTTGCCTGTGATCCCAGTTGTCATTTGACTTCCCACCTTGGCATTCCAGTCTCCTGTAATGAAAATAATGTCTCTTTTTGGTGTATTATCCAGTAGGTCCTGCAGATCCTCATAGAACTGATCTACTTCTGCCTCTTCAGCAGCTGTGGTTGGGGCGTATATTTGGATCACTGTAATGTTGAAAGGCTTTCCTTGCACTCGAATTGAGATCATTCTGTCATTTTTTGGGTTGTATCCAAGCACCGCTTTAGCGAATTTCTTATTAATTATGAAGGCTACTCCATTTCTTCGATGTTCCTCTTGTCCGCAGTAGTAGATCTGGTGGTCATCTGATGTGAAGTGGCCCATTCCAGTCCATTTCAGTTCGCTGACCCCCAGAATGTCTATCTTTAGTATTGACATCTCACCAATAACAACATCCAATTTGCCCTGGCTCATAGATCTTACATTCCAGGTTCCTATGGTGTGTTGATCTTTAGAGCATCGGATTCGTCGTTCACCTCCAGTACCGTCGGCCGCTAGCCTTCCTTTCGGCTTTGAGCTAGCTGCGTCATCACATCTGGGGCTAGTTGAACTTATCCTCTGCTCCTCCCCAGTAGCATTTTGGCCATCTTCTGACCTGGGAGTCCCATCTTCCAATGGCATACCGACATATCTCTGGTTGTACTGGTCCATTTAGTTTTCTTGGCAAGGATACTGGAGTGGTTTGCCATTGCCTTCCCCAGGGATCACGCTTGGTCTGACCTCTCTGCCACGACCGTCCCGTCTTGGGTGGCCCTTCCCGGTTTCGCTCATGACATCATTGAGGTGCTCAAGCTCCAGCGCCCCGACAAGGCGGTGATCCTTTGCTGGAGCAAATAACTATAAATGTACACAAACACTAAAATCAGTTACATCTATTTTACATCTAAGATGGTAAAAACCTGACTGTGGGACCATGCCTTTGGAACAGTGCAATAAGGCAATAAGAGGAAAGCCACTCTGCTGACCAGAGTCAGCATGGTGTTTTGAGATAGTTTTAAACAACTGATTTTAAAATAGATGTAACTGATTTTAGTGTTTGTGTACAAATAAATGTACACAAACACTAAAATCAGTTACATCTATTTTAAAATCAGTTGTTTAAAACTATCTCAAAACACCATGCTGACTCTGGTCAGCAGAGTGGCTTTCCTCTTATTGCCTTATTGCACTGTTCCAAAGGCATGGTCCCACAGTCAGGTTTTTACCATCTTTCTGAAGGACAAGAGGGAGGGGGCTGATCTAATCTCACCAGAAAGGGAATTCCATAGCCGGGGGACAATCACTGAGAAGGCCCTCTCACTTGTCCCCACCAAACGCGCTTGTGACAATGGTGGGACCAAGAGCAGGGCCTCCCCAGAAGATCTTGGTCTTAGAATCATAGAATCATTGAGTTGGAAGAGACCTCGTGGGCCATCCAGTCCAACCCCCTGCCAAGAAGCAGGGAAATAGCATTCAAAGCACCCCCAACAGATGGCCATCCAGCCTTTGTTTAAAAGCCTCCAAAGAAGGAGCCTCCACCACACTCCGAGGTAGAGAGTTCCACTGCTGAACAGCTCTCACAGTCAAGAAGTTCTTCCTAATGTTCAGCTGGAATCTCTTTTTCTGTAGTTTGAAGCCATTGTTCACGGCAGTTCATAAAGGGAAATGCGTTCGGACAGGTAAACTGTGCCATGGCCATTTAGGGCTTTATAGGCCAAGGCCAGCACTTTGAATTTTGCCCGGTAGCAAATAGGCAGCCAGTGGAGCTGATGTAGCATGGGAGTTATGTGCTATCTGTATACCACCCCAGTTATTAGCCTGGCTGTCTCTCGTTGGACTATTTGAAGCTTCTGAACAATCTTTAAAAACAATGAGAGCATGGACCACCCCTGGCCAAGTCTTAGTTGCATCTTGTTTATGTCACTGTGACACCACCTGGTTGGAAAGGTAACCACACCTCTAGCCAAAAATAGTTATAGGGAGAGCCTGGGAAAGTTTCCACATGGATCATGCAGGTTAGAGACTTTAGCTTTCCAACCTCTGGGTATAAAAAGCATTTACAAAATATTTACTGACTCTTAATATATTTTATGAACACACTCCAATGTTAAGATGTTTTAAAGTCCTAAATGGCTTAAGCTCCCCTTGCTGGAGGGTACCTTCTCACACAGAGACCAACCCAGATCTTTAGAAGCTCTTCTTTTGTCTGGCCAGCTTCAGAAGTGTGTTTAGCAGAGACAAGAGAGCTCTTTCTTGGTGCCTACAAGTGGTCTTTATAATGTTTCCAAGGAGATGTATTTAACCCATCTCTACTACTCTCTCTCCAGAAAGGTCAGGATGGCCCCATCTGTGTTCTCCTTCCACTAGCAGGTCAAAATAATTTTGTGCTACCAATCTATTACTTACGGATGAAAGTTGGGCTTTTACTGCTGTGGAGTATTGGTATTTTTTTTAAAAAAAAATAAGGGTTTGCAGAGTTAATTTTAATTAAATGAATACTTTTAATTAATGTTCATGCATTTTAGTATTTTAATGTTTACTACTTTTAAATTATAAAGGGTTTAATTGCTTAAGTCTTATATTTATACTTTTGCTGACTTAATGTTCTTAGCCACTATGAGTCCCATTGTCAGAGAGATGTATACATAAATAAAATAGTAGTAGGAGTAGTATTTCAGAAATGCACAAGCCCTTTCCTGTTTAAATGGCTGTTGTTGTTGTTATTGTTATTATATTTATACCATGCTTTTTCTTTACAATGGAGACTCAAATTGGCTTACTTTAGCATACTGATTTTATCCGTACTGTAGATTTTTAAAAGAATTCTTCAAAAAATAATTTTAGCTCATATAATTACCTATTCTTAACAAGTTCCAGTTAATGTTTTGGACCTTACAAATATCTGTATTGTTTTTGCTAGCTGTCCACATGCTTTATTGTAGAAGGTGTAATGTGAAAAAAAGTAAAAGTTTGTACTTTTTCTGCCATTTTTCACAGAGTTTTATATACACCTGGTCATACAGATGATCATATGGTTTTACATCTCCTTGAAGAAAATGCAGTATTTTCTGGTGACTGTATTTTAGGGGAAGGAACAGCTGTGTTTGAAGATCTTTACGATTACATGAAATCTTTGGAAAAGCTACTGGAAATGAAAGCTGATTTAATATATCCTGGTTAGTAGTACCTTTAATTTGAGCAGCTGTTGCATTCTCATCTCCCCCTTTTCTAACTCTCGCTGCCAGAACTGCTGTACGAAATCCTGCATGTCTTGCTGTGCATCACCAGAGCCCTCTGATCCCTTTGTAAATCGATGCCCTTTCATGGCTCCTCTCAGCAGGAATAGAAGAGGGCTCCTGCTTTTGTGATATTTTCGTATTCATAGCAAGCTGGAGCTGAAGCCTGGACTTGCAGTGCATTGTATTCCTTTTTATTGGCCTTGAGTATTACTGGGATGCATCCATGATAAATTGTTTGAACTACAATTCCCAGAGTCCCTGAGCCAGTGTTCGAGATAGGAAAGGAATCCTCTAAAATTTAGGAAGAAAATAACTTTTCCAAGCACTAAAGTTTTATTCAACCTACAGCCTACTGCATCCCTTTTCCCTCTACCTTGAAAAGCTACTTTTCAGTGAAACCAAAATGCTGGTTTGGTTCTTTTACATTTGTGTGTTTATAATGTAGTTTTCCCCTTCATACACACCAGGCTATATTTCAGAGGAAGGCAATGGCACACCATTTCTGTGTCTTCAACTCCTAAGAATACTTTATGAAATGTATGGCGTTGTCATAAGCAGATGGGCAACTTGAAAGCATGTTGTTGTTTTTGTGCCTTCAAGTTGTTTCCGACTATGGAAAACCTAATACAAACCTATCATAGATTTTCTAAGATTGAGAATGTGAGTTGCCCAAGGTCACCCAGTGGCTTTTCATAGCTGAGCAGGGATATGAACCCTGGTCCCCAGCATTGTGATCCAAAACTCAAATCATCATGCCACGCTGGCCATTGCAACCATGAATATGTACTAAAAGTGAATAGCAATTTGTGAAGTGTATTTTGTCCACTAGAGGGCTTCCATTTCCCTTCAACTATACAGGCAGTCCCCACGTTACAAACAAGATAGGTTTTATAGGTTTGAATTTGTTTGTAAGTTGGAACAGGTACATTTTAGGTGTTACTCCAGCCAAATAGATATACATAGCTTTGGATAGCATAGGGAAGAGTTAACACCCTTGTCACATTTGTTTCACTGTCTGTGCCCACTCTCAGAAGATTTCACCTCACTTTTGTTCCTGTGAGAATTGAATTTTAAAAAATCTGGCTTGTTGTGTAAACAAGGATTGGAGAGACATAACGATAATAATAAAACTTTATAGACTGCCCTCTCTCCCCGAAGGGACTCAGGGCAGTTCACAAGAAAAATAAAAATGGCAAACATTCAGTGCCAAAAAACAGATAAACAGCACTCAAGGCAAAACATATAATAAATAGACTCAATAAACTTATAAACAACCAGAACTGAGGGTTAAACTAAATATGTCATAAAAACAAGAAGTCAAACCAAAACACAATACGTTAAAAGCATAGTGTAATGTATTACATCATCAGGCTGAGATAGGTGTCCTATGTCCGGGCGAGACATAGGACACCTATCTCCATAAGCTAGGTGAGATGGGTCTTTAAAAGCTTTTTAAAGGAGAGGAGAGAGGGGCCCATTTTTAGTTCTTTGGAGAAGGGAGTTCCAGAGCCGGGAAGTGGCCACAGAGGAGGCCCCCTCTCTCATTCCCACCAACCATACTTGAGATAGGGGTGGAACTGAGAGTAGGGCCACCTCCACAGATTGCAGTGCTCATGCTGGTTTGTATGCGGAGATGTGGTTTTTCCAATTGTCTGGGCCTGAGTCAGTGGAAATACCTTTCCCCCATGATAACTCTTTCAGGAGTGAATTTCCCTTCTGATAGATAGATTTCTCTCACTTCCTGTTGTCTCATCCCCAGTCTGAACAGTGAGTCATTTGTAAGTCAGATGTTTGTAACTTGGGAACTGCCTATATATTTCTATTCATAGTTTAATGCTCAACTGTAATGTATAACAGAAGGCATACTATTAAGATAGTAAATTATAGTAATTCCACAAATGAGGGACTTGTTATAAAATTGCCTTCATTTTCTGGCATTAAGATGTTTGATTTCATGGAAATCTGAGGTGTATAGTTTCATGAGTGAGGTCCAAGGTTATTCATATATTTTATTAATGTATGCTCAGGGATCGTTCTTTTACCAAGCCTTTGGACAGTGATTTCCCAGTGCAATAATGAATAATGCATTTGACAACTGGAATGGCTCCTGGAATATGCCTTTGGATTGTGTGATTTTAATTAACTGTTTCAAGATTAATGTTGTAATTATGTGCTTTGAAAATATATGTTGTTTTATTCTTTGTATGTATACATGGCATTGATTGTGCCTTTGTTGTGAGATGCCCTGAGTCCCCTTTGAGGTGAGAAGGATGGGATATAAATGCAGTAAAATAAATAAATATGTGATATTCACTATACCTACTTTGAACAGCCCCATAAACATTTCCAGTAGTCAAATATATGTAATTTGTTTGCTGTTTAGGAACCACCATGTCTTCTTTTCACCTGATAATCTTGTTGTACAAACAAACCCTTTCCTTCCATTACAGGGCATGGTCCAGTAATAAAAGAGGCAAGAGCTAAAATCCAAGAATATATTGCTCACAGAAATGCACGCGAGCAGCAAATATTAAGTGTCTTGCAAGAGAACGCTGGAAAATCTCTCACAGCAGGGGAACTTGTGAAAATTGTATATAAGGTAACTGATGCACTTTTAAAGGTGGAAACAATAGCAATACAAATAATGGTTGATAAGAAACAATTTATATGACAAAATTATGCTATATGATATGTGTCTTCTCTACAACAAAGCACACCACCAATTGTTTATCATCCCATTAGTTTTTATATGGTGGGATTCTCAGTAAGTCTTTACAAAACTCACATTTCTGGATAAAACCTCCTTAGAAGTAAGAGTAACAAAAATGCCATAGCATCAGATCTATTGACATGCAAAGAAGAAATTAATCTTATTTCTGCTTAACCAATGACCATCTATTCTATACAAATACATTGTACTTTGGTTGGTCCCTGGGAAATGAGCATTATATTAGAGTAGTGGTTCTCAACCTGTGGGTCCCCAGGGGGCATTTTTGTTACTCTTACTTCTAAGGAGGTTTTATCCAGAAATGTGAGTTTTGTAAAGACTTACTGAGAATCCCACCTTTTGTCCTTCAACTCCCAGATGTCTTAACAGCTGGTAAACTGGCTTGGATGTCTGGGAGTTGTAGGCCAAAACACCTGGAGACCCACAGGTTGAGAGCCACTGTATTAGAGACTGGCTGTTTAGAAGCGTAGCTACACAGCCTCAAAATGCAGGCTTGGAAACTCCTATATACTTGAGTACATTATTTTAGAATGATCTTATTTTAGCTGTCATGGATCCATCCCGTAGAATCATAAAAATTTAAATTTAGGGGTACTTAGACTTTTCAGCCTAAGAGCCAACGTCCTCTCCAGACTATAAACCACAGGAGTCTCTAGGCTGCAGCATGGCCATTAGTCAAGCTGTCTGAGAATTCTGGGAATTGTAATCTGAATAATTCTTCCAAACTCTGCTGGGTTTTTGGATTCACTATAAGACTGTATGCTAGTACTCAAGCATAGAAATAAAAAGCAGATGTGAGAAAATCAGACTGCCTGATGGATGCTACCCACTACCAGTAAAAGGCCAGAAGGGAAAACAGAATTTTTTTTTACTATCTCTTTATAAAGTGAATGTAAGGCATGATAGTCCCCTTTAGAATTGCTATAATTCAGAACAACTTGAAAGAGCAACAGTGACAGAAAGAACTTTTAATTTGGAAATCAAAATACACACACTTCATGGTAGCTTGAAACCTGTAATATTAATACTATGAAATAATTCAATAATGTTAATGCTGAAAAGGTCTTTCAATAGGAATGTGTTGTTGTGTTTTTATCATTTTAATGGCCTTTAAAAAATTTGTTTTATATATTACTGTTAAACTGTTGTATTCATAACTGTTTTAATGGTTTTATTTCATATTGTGAGCCATACCGAAGCCCCATCTACACTGTCCATTTAATGCAGTTTGATGCCAACTTCAGAGTGCAGCAGCCAGACAACCAACACCCACAAAAGCATGAAAAAGAATGCCCTTGATGTACATCAGTGCTCTATAGTTTGTGTAATCACCATCCAGCCTTCAAACTGATTCCAGGATTTCCTATATGATCATTTGTACAACAAAACACTTTCTTTAATACCAGTTTAAAACTGTATTGAATGGCCAGTGTAGATGGGGCATAGTCATATTGGGAGAAAAATGGGATATTTTATCACTTTGTAATGCAAAGTGATAAAAATAATATTATTTAATACGTTTAACAGTCGGATCTTAGAAACAGAATATAATATATTGATAATAGCAAGAATCATAAAATTGGAGATTTTCCTTTTGCATTACTGTACTACTGCTTCTGAAACTAGGAGGAAACTTTAAACAGCAATAGATCATTTGACATAGAAGTCAGTTTTTCAGAGAAAAAGCCTCAAAGATTCCCATGTGCTAATACAAACCATTTTGCTGAGCCTAAGCAAGCCTATATATTCTTGCCAATGCATATAGAGATAATGTCATTTTAGGGGAGTTGAAAATCTACAAGAATGCTTTAATTTGTTGAGTTTAGTATTCTTCTACCTAGTATTACTATGGTTATGTAACTCTTTCAAAAGAACTCATTATAATTAATGTAATCACTTTTGTATATATAAAACATTGACATTCAAAATACAATATATATGTGTGTGTGTTTTTTTTTTAAATCTAGGATACACCTGTACATTTACATAAAGCTGCAGAAGTAAACCTCACGCATCACTTGAGGAAACTAGAAAAGGAAGGGAAAGCGTGTAAGTACCTTTGTCCTCTAAAATGAATATGTGTATAGATAAAATCCAGTTTTCAGAGAGGAATTCATACACAACTTCTCACAGACCTTTGTGGACAGCAGATATTTGGGTGTTTATTTTAAATATAGTGTTTAAAGTGCTTAGATTCTGTCTTGTTATCACAAAATCTCAGGACAGCCAAAAAGCTGAAACAGTGCAAGCAGATTAACTCAACTTAAAACAACAGAAATAATGTAAATACTGTAGACTTAAAATATAGTGTACATAGACCTATCTAATGGGCATAGAGGTAGGCCACATAGGCAAGCACATGCAGGAAGAAGCACTGTTCCAAATACTGAGCATTGGTTTTTAAATGCTGTATGTTATTGTTATTGATATTGTTTATTGCTTATTGTATATTTCTTGTTTTTGAGTTTTATTTTAACTGTTTTGTACTGATTATTTGTTATCGCCTTTGTTTACTGATGTGCTGTGGGCTTGGCCGAATGTAAGCCGCACCAAGTCCCTTGAGGAGATGGTAGAGGGTACAAATAAAGTATTATTATTATTATTATTATTATTATTATTATTATTATTATTATGAGCTATTTGGACTTTAAATGTCATCACCAGCATTTCAATTAAATTAATCTTGTTGATGTCTGGAGAACAAGCCCTATGAAGAGCGGCTTAAAGAGCTGGGCATGTTTAGCCTGCAGAAGAGAAGGCTGAGAGGAGACATGATGAGGGCCATGTATAAATATGTGAGGGGAAGTCATAGGGAATAGGGAGCAAGCTTGTTTTCTGCTGCCCTGGAAACTAAGACGCAGAGCAATGGCTTCAAACTACAGGAAAGAAGATTCCACCTGAACATGAAGAAGAACTTCCTAACTCTGAGATCTGTTCAGCAGGGGAACTCTCTGCCCTGGAGTGTGGTGGAGGCTCCTTCTTTGGAGGCTTTTAAACCGAGGCTGGATGGCCATCTGTCGAAGATGTTTTGAATCCAGTTTTCCTGCTTCTTGGCAGGGGGTTGGATTGGATGGCCCACAAGGTCTTTTCTGATTCTATGATGCTGAAGTACACCTCTTTCACAAAGGGCACCTCTGCACTACAGAATTAATCCAGTTTGTCACCACTTGAACTGCTAGGACTCAGTGCAGTGAAATCCTGAGAGTTGAGAGCTTAGTGAGGCGCCAGGACTCTTTGGCAGAGAAGACCAAAGACCTCATAAAATTATATCTCCCATGATTCTATAGCACTGACCATGGCTGTTAAAAGTGGTGTCAAACTGCATTTCTACAATGTAGAAGCACCCTCAGATGAGTAAATGAATGTTGGTTTTATTAATGTTATGTAGTTCCATGTTGCTAATATTTGAGATATGCAGTATTTTAACAAATACATGCGAGCTCAAGCTTGTGTTTTAATCACTTTCTGCTCAATGTCTTACAATAAAACTTTAAGGCTTGCTTTTTAAATGTTTTCACATACTTGCTTGTTTACTCTTTTTTTTCTTTTATTACAGTATATGAAAATTCCCCCAGCTTCCGGTGGAAAAGCAATTTATAATTATGACCCTATATAAATATAGTAATGTTGGCAAGCATAACTTCCTCCATATTTTGTAAAATTAAAAGCAATAAAATTGAAAAAGTCAAAACTGTATTTTTAATGGAAAAGATACTTGAGTATTTCAGCACAATATTTCAAAAGAGCTCTTCTATTATGTCTTCCATCAAAATCATTTAAATAAAGTGCAATTTGTTCACATATAGACTGCTGTGTGGGCTCTTTTTTTCCAATAGCTGTATGGAATAAATAGAAATACATGCATAAAGTTGTTTCATTAACATAATTTTAGGTAACCATTAATATTTCATCATCACCTACACAAAACACCTGTATTTTTCATGAGTAAGAACATAGTTCTTATTCACAAAGCAATTATGTATTATTTTGATTGACAGATATCAATTACTGGTACTCAGAGAAGTGGTTCCTGTACTACTGGTAATTCATTAGCCATCAATCTAGTCTCTGGCAAAATAAGCATCTTTAGCTAATAAGCAGAAATATAGTACCATTCTCTGGCATATTGGGGCAGGGGGCAATGCTGGTCCCACATGTTCGTTATTTATTATTTATTTATTTATTTACTTCATTTGTTGACCGCCGCTCTCAGCCCTGGGGCGACTCGCGGCGGTGTACAACATATAAAAACAGTCTACAAAACATACCATAAATCAACAATTAAATTACACATTAATCTAAATCACAGTAATAAATCCGCGCCATCACAACATAGAGAACATAGCCAATCTCATAATCCAAGGTCCATTCCAGATGTCATTACCAGATTCGTGTGGGTCTCAATCAAATGCCTTCCCGAATAGCCAGGTTTTTAGGCCCCTACGGAAGGCCATAAGGGAGGGCGCCTGTCTAATGTCAGCAGGGAGGGCGTTCCACAGCCGAGGGGCCACCACCGAGAAGGCCCTCTCTCTCGTCCCCGCCAGACGTGCCTGTGAGGCGGGCGGGATCGAGAGAAGGGCCTCCCCGGAAGATCTCAAGCATCTCGTTATCTTGAGATAACAGTAACCCAACTTTGCTGCTATCAAGTGCACATGCAAAAAGGAACCAGTGCTCTTAACTGATGAAAATAGAGTAGATGAGATGCTGCAGTACTGAAAAGGCACAGGGAATAAAGGAATGTTTAGTTAGACTAGGTGAATTCACATCTCCAGAGCCAGGTGAACTACATCCAAAATCACCCATTGGCATTAACGAACTACTCTCAAGCCTCCGAATGGAGCCCCCAGTGGTGCAACTTGCGCCGGCAGTACTGTTGACCTAAAGAGGTTTTACTCGGGAGCAGGGTGAGCTCCCATCTGTCAGCTCCAGCTTCCCATGTGGGGACATGAAAGAAGCCTCCCACCGGATGGTAAAAAAAAGGATCCCTATCTCATCCTGATTTTTAGTATTTTAGTTTTTTTATCTTGCACATGCGGCCCGCTCATTGTTATTTTATTGTGTATGATTTTGTTTTATTGTTTTTGTACTCGTATGTTGTATGTATTTTACTGTGTTCTTATTGTGTTTCGCTTTTATTTTATTGTAATATGCTGTTGAGCTTGGCCTCATGTAAGCTGCTCCAAGTCCCCATTGGGGAGATGGGGCAGGGTATTAAATAAAGTTTATTATTATTATTAAAACATCCAGCCATCCCCTGGGCAACGTCCTTGCAGATGGCCAATTCTTTCACACCAGAAACGACTTGCAGTTTGTCAAGTTGCTCCTGACACGAAAAAAATCCCTCTGAATTAATCTTGCCAAAACCCAGCACGCAACTATCATAAGTGCTTACGTACCAGCACTAGGTGCTGACAAAGACATCATGGAATTTTTTTACTGTCAACTGGAGACTATTCTATCTGAGGACAAAATCATCCTCCCAGGTGATTTTAAGGCAAGAATTGGACAAAATTTCATCCTGTGGCCTGGGACTATAGAGAAAGACGGGGTTGGAAGCAGCAATTCAAATGGCATCCTACTTCTCGTCAATTGTGCAGAACACAACCTTGTCATCACTGACATATTCTTCGACCAGAAAAATAAGTTCATAGAAACACTCCCAGTCAAAGCATTGGCACCTCTTAGACTATGCAATTATGCATGCCAGAGACAGCCATGGTGTGCTTCTCAAAAGAGCTATGACTAATGACTGCCCCACAGATTAATTTGATCCACCATGGCCATCAAGATCACCCCGAAATGCAGACTCCAAGGAAGAAAGATAAAATGCGAAGGGAACACCCAAACCTTTCAAGAGCCCTCTAAACAAGTCCTTCTCCAAACAACACTCAAGGATCACCTACCAACGGAACACCATGAAAACGTTGAGGAATACTGGAATAAACTGAAGAAACCATTGGATACCAAACTAAGAAACATCAAAACCGGTTTGATGAAAATGATAACGAGATCCAACAGGTAATCGAGAAGAAAAGGAAAACCTTCCAGATATGGGAAAGAGACACCAACTGTGCTGCTAAGAAAAAGATCTCTTCTAGTGCAAAAGCTGAAGTCCAAAGGACCAGAGAACTCAAGAACATCTGGTAGGCAAAAAAAGGCTCAAGAAAATCCACCATTTCCTAGATGTTCATGATGCACAGGGTTACTTTAAAGCCACCAAGGTCATCTGTGGTCCAACAAATCATGGTGAACATCTTCATCTGATGAAACCAAACTTCTAAAGGACAAAAAATCAATTGCAATGTGTTGGAAAGAGCACTAGCCTAATCTCCTTAATCACAGCTCTGTGGCCGAAGCAGTTTTCTCACAAATCCTGCCCTGTGTCCCATGTTTAAAGTGGCTTTTATTATTTTAGGCCCCTTCTACACTGCCATATGATCCAGACTATCAAAGCAGACAACCCACATCTATCTGCTTTGAACTGGATTTAAATGCTTGCGTGTTACTGTTTATTGTTTTTTGTTTATGTGATTTATATTAATTGTATTGTATTGATTGTTTTGTTATTGCTCTTGTTATTGATGTACTGTGGGCTTGGCCTCATGTAAGCCACAACGAGTCCCTTGGGGAGATGGTAGCGGGGTATAAATAAAGTTGTATTATTATTATTATTATTATTATTATTATTATTATTATTATTATATGAGTCTATGCTGCTATATAATCCAGTTCTAAGCAAATAATTTGGATTTTATCTGGAAGTGTAGAAGGGGCCATAGACCGCTTTGCCAAGGGCAATTCTACTCAAATAATGTGAAATTGGTCCCAGTCACAAAATCTGATTGTAGCCAGACTTTACTATTGTCAGGCTTTCCTTAGGATTGATTTTAAAGTCTAAAGTTTCTAGACTAGAGTTTCTCAGACAGGGTGTCTGAAAAAAATTCTGATTTGGGGAAAACAATCTGGATATTTTCACTTTATTTTTTACATTGGTATTCCCTGAGACCAATCATTTTGATGCAAAGTTTCTCTCAGAACTAAAAATAATTTCAAGAGTTCATTAAGGGTAAAGTGGTTAAGAAAGGCTGTTCTGGATAATGAGCTATATT